CGTCCACCCCACGCCATGTGAGGCAGTTGTAGCACATTGAGAAGTTAGGTTCAACCAGATACGATCCCGGGTCGAGGGTTCACAGCCCCCCGCCCAAGATGAGATGGGCCCCAGGGTTCCACAGCCCCTCCAAAGATGGGATGGGGGGGATGACGACGACGACGACCGCGACCACGACACAGACGCCGACGCCGACACTGACGCCGACGCCGACGCCGACGCCGACGCCGACGCCGCCGCCGCCGACGACGACAACAACGACGACGATGACGGCAACGCCGACACAGACGCCGACGACGACGACGACGCCGACGCCGACGGACGACAACGACGACAACGACGACGACGACGACGGAAGACGACGACGACGACGACGAACCAACCCACACCTACATGGGTGGTGGAACATTGGCACCCTCCACGACGCCACGCCCACAGGGCCACGACCACACGTGGGGGGAGCGATCCCATTTGCGAGGCCTTTGCGAAGCTCACAGGTGTATCCATTCAGCAGCGGCGGGGGGCTCGATCCCATATGCATTGGGAGAGGGATGCAAACCTGGATCAGATCTAACCCACCTTGGCATCCACTGCTAACCCCCTTTCCCCGTAGCAACCCCCGCGCCGATCCCAGCAGGAAGAACTATGAGGTCCTCAGGGCCCGAGTCCTGGTCCGGGTCCCGGCCTGGGTCCAGGGTCCGATCAGGGTGTCCGAGTTGCAGCTTGATCTTCTTTCCAGTGCGACAAGACGTCTGCCAGCCCACCCCTGGCCCGACTGCCAGCCCACGACCACACCATGACTTCGCTAGCGCCCCGGATCGGCGGCACCGGCCAGGGGCCTGTTCAGTGTCAGAAATTGGATGGCTGGTGTAACCTCATCCGGCAATCAAGAGCCCCCCCCTTCCGGTGCAACGATGCTGAAATATCTATATATATATATATAACGATATCGCTCAGCCACATCCGCCCCCGTGAATTATGCATGGTCGTTTCGGTGCTAACGAGAACACAGGCGGGTGGCTCAAGGGCTTCCTGGGGTCATTGGTGCAAGTAGCGTGTGCATGAGATGCGCGTGGACTCCCGTACGGCACACCTCGTTGGCTGAGGGGCAGTAAGGGAGTCCTCGGCACCTTGTGCTGGCTGACGGCATTGGGAGGAAGGAAGGGTGAGGGGGTGGTTGGGGGAAGTTTTTCCTCCCTCCTCCCCCCCCTCCTCCTCCTGCTCCTCCTCCTCCTCCTCCTCCTCCTCCTCATTATCATTATCATCCTCCTCCTTGTCATTTCCTCCTTCCTTCCCTCCCCCTCCTCCTCCACCTCCTCCTTCTCTTCGTCTTCCCCCTTCTCCTTGTCTTCACTCTCTTCTCGAGCTGGCATGTTGATTCTCGTGGTGTTCTGATGCCGTCGGAGGTCTTGGAGACCCGCGGTGGTTTCAGAGAGCTGCGCTTCGCCGATAGCGCTCCAGGATTGCCAGAATCGTCCCTAGCGGCCGTCGGAGGCCCAAGTTTTCCAATCCTTCCTCCCTCCCTCCTCCCTCCTCTTCCGTCCTCCTCAGCCTCCTCCCTCCCCTCCTCCCTCCTACCTCCTCCTCCTCCCTCATCCTCCTTTCTCCTCCTCCTCCTCTCCTCTCCTCCTCCTCTCCTCCTCCTCCTCCTCCTCCTCCTCTCTTCCCCTCCTCCTCCTCCTCCTCCTCCTCCTCCTCCTCCTCCCTTCGCCTCCTCCCTCTCCCTTCTCTCTCCTCCCTCTGCCTCCTCCCTCCTCATCCTGTCTCCTCCCTCTGCCTTCCTCACTCATTTGCCTCCTCCCCGAGGGCGGCTGAGCGCATGCCGATGCCACAGCCCTTCCTTCGTTCTCGCCCTTTGGGGCCTCCTGGGTGGCACTCGTCGCCACGGCTGAATTCTCATCGGAGGCTCGGTCAGGACGCACCCAGGGAGCTGTCTCCTTGGGGACAGCATCGGCATTTGGTATTTGCTACACGTCAGAGAGACGCCCCGCTGGAGCGACCTTCGCGAACCTCCGACGCGTTGCACAACATCAAAGAGGAGGAGGAGGAGGAGGAGGAGGAGGAGGAGGAGGAGGAGGAGGAGGAGGAGGAGGCGCTTGCAGCACGATGTGTGCATCCTACCCCGTCGCCTCGAGCGCCTCCCGTGACGGGGCAGCTGCCCCCGGGCGCCGTTTTCGTTCCCCGGGAGCCGCTGTTGTTCTGCGGGGCCGTCACAAGCACCGACCGACTCGGGCCGAGACGCAAGCCCAAGAGAGAGGTCGAGATCCCAGGGGTGCTCACGCCCCGAAGGAGATGCGCCGCCGGAGCGGAGGGACGGGTGGCCCTTCGCCGCCGGCGGAGGAGGAGGAGGAGGAGGAGGAGCCAGAGGAGGAGGAGGAGGAGGAGAAGGAGGAGGAGGAGGAGGAGGAGGAGGAGGAGGAGGAGGAGTAGGAGGAGGAGGCTGAGGAGGAGGAGGAGGAGAGGAGGAGGAGGAGGAGGAGGAGGAGGAGGAGGAGGAGGAGGAGCAGGAGGAGGAGGAGGAGGAGGTGGAGCAGGAGGAGGAGGAGGAGGACCCATTTTTTCTTCGTGCCCATGCCGGGCGCGCACAACGCCGTGCCCCGGCGGCGCCGGCGAGGGCGGCCCGCCCTCGGCGCCGGCAGGGCTCGCCGCGGCCCTGCCCGCGCGCGGCAGTGGCCCTTTGCCGGAGGGACCTTTGTCGGACGGAGGAGAAGCGAGACCAACACCAACAGGGGGGCCACCTCCAGCGAGGAGGTCCACGACGCCTCCCCGAGCCGGGGGCTGGGGATGTCTCGAGCGAGAAGGGGGGACCACACCACCAGGGAGACCCCCCTTGCTCCTCGCATCTTCTCGCCCTGGTGATGTTGGTGTCGCCATTCATTCTTCCGACTTTGGTTCGATGACCCTCGGTCGGCTCCGCCAGTAGCGCTCAGCTTGTTTCGGCCATCGTTGCTCCGCCTGCGTCGTATTGAAGGGCCTCGGCGTTGGTGGGCGAGCACACGTTGGCGCCTGCCCACGTTGTGAGTCAGGAGGGAAAAAAACACACAGACACAATTAATCGTCGATTTCCCAGAAAATATGGGAAAATATGGGAAGTGGTGGGGAAGACAAAAACCCAGAAAATATGGGAAAATATGGGGAATCTTTTTATTTGTGTGTATTTATTTGTGTGCCCCAGTTTCCCTTCAGTGAGGATCGTCGACTGGTGTGCAGGCTGCTCGCCCAGGGTCTCTCTTGCGTGTGCCCGGCAAGGGCGGCGACGCGAAGACCGAGGCCACCGCGCCGACGGAGTCGCTCAAGGCGATCGGCGTCGTCGTCATCGTCGCCGCCGTCGTCGTCGACCCTCCCCCCTCATCCTACATCTCCTCGCACGTGAGACGCTCCTGACACCTCTGTGGGCTGTCCGTCTCTCTCTCTCTCTCTCTCTCTGTCTCCTACACCTTCTGCTCCTCCCGATGTGTTTCTCGCTCCACGCTGCATCCGCCCTCCTCCTGCCCCTTCTTCTCCACCCAAGTTCCACGTTCCAGGTTCTTCATCCTCTCTCCTTCCTCCACGGGCGGGGCCTCTTGGGCCGTCTTTGAGGCCTCTTGGCGGTCCCGGGGGCCTCTTGCGTATATCGGGGAGCCTCTTGTGGCCTCTTGGGGGCCTCTTGGAGGCCTCTTGGAGGCCTCTTGGGGGCCTCTTGTTCCTCTTGGGGCCCTCTTGGGGCCCTCTTGGGGCGCTCTTGGGAAGGTCAGCGTGGTCCCAGTTTCTCAGTTCTGCGCATCCCGCTCGGGATTTGATTTTGGCCTCTCCGGCGGCACACTGGGCTATCACCGAGACCGTGGTGGACTCTCTCAGCAGCCGCTTGCTGCTGCAGCCGCTTGGCAGACGGACCTGGCGGGGCGCACGATCTCCTTGGCGACCTTGATTGACTGGCAGCCGCAGGACGCCTGCGGCCACCGACGCGCCCGTCGCCGTCGCGCCCCTGATGGCCGTCGCGTGCGCCCTGACCGGCGCGCCACCTCCTCTGGAGGCGATCTCCCGCAGCAGCACGCGCAGGTCGGCATTGAGGACGCGCCTCTCCGTAACCGCGGGGTGTGGACCATCGACACGGCGAATCTGCTGGGAAACATGCCTCAACCAGGTCGTTCACCAGACCTCCGCTGATGCGCTGTTGGTCCAGGAGCACAAGATCCACACTGAGCTCCGGCTGGAATCCGCTCACCGGGCAACGAAGACAGCAGGCTGAAGGTCGCAGCTCAGCCTTGCGCACTCCGCCGCGTTGGATCGCGCCTCTGGCGGCGTTGGCGTCCTCTGCCGTCGGCGCATCGGGTTTCACCCGCATGCGGACCTTGTGGCGGACGGTTTGCAGCATCGGTTGCAGGCCGCTTGGCTGGGTGCTGTCATGAAGGGCGGCCTCCACCTCTGCAGCATCTGGCTCTTCCACAGCCAAGGAGTGTCGGAGTCCAACCTGCACATCCTCGCGGAGGCTGCGGCGCTGCTTGGTACCTTATCGGGGCCGTGGGTGATCGCCGTGGATTGGAATATCACTCCCGACATGCTCACGGCTACTGGCTGGCTGGACGTCGTCAAGGGCCGCATCATCTCGCCCGCTTTTCCCACGTGCAATGGCTCTACATACGACTTCTTCGTGATCAGTCGGAGCATTGCGCATGCTGTTCTGGGGGTCAGTCGTATCGACGACGGCGGCTTCACGCCACACTTTCCCACCAGGCTGTACCTGGCCGGCGATGCTCGCCGCAAGGCGGTCCGCCGCTTAGTTCGGTCTCGGCGAGTCGACGGGGAGCTCCCTGCAGGCCCCCTGCCGGATCCCGCGCCGGGCGATTGGGAGGCCGACGACATTGCTGACGTGGCGCAGCTGGCAGCCGCCATCGACAACTGGCATCGCGCGGCACGCAGAACTTTCTTTTCGCTCTTTGGATTGCCCGCGACGTGGTTTCGACCGCGGTTCTGCTGGGAACCCGCCGCGGGGCAGCTTGCCCGGCGGTGCGCTGGCGCTTCCATGGTCGCTGTTGCATGGCGGGAGTGCTCTGCGAGGGCGTTCGAGGTCGCTGCCATCCTCGGGCGACCGCAGCCCGCAGCTGCCGACGAGGTGCTGCTTGCACGCCATTGGTCACGAGTGCTCGCTGCGACGCGGCCGGCGGGTCGGGCTCCTGGCGAGGTTTCTGAGGCCATGCGCGCTTGGCCAGCAGCTTTCGGCCATGCGCGGCAGTCCCGCGGCCCCACTGCCCTGCCCTCTCTCGCCGCCGAGGCCGCCAAGCATGCCCAGCGGATCGAGAGGGCTGTCTCGGGCGCGCGCCTGGCCAGCTACCGCGGCGCCCTCGCTGCCCCCGGCGGCTCCCGTGCTGCCCGGCCGTCGGCCTCCGCCCCAGGGAAGCTTGCCTTCCGCTATGTCCGCGGCATCGGCGGCTGGTCGTGATCACCACTCGGGGAGCCCCGTTGCGACGAGGACATCCCCGATGCGGTCGACATGGATTCCGAGCCTCATGCAGACCGGGTCGAGGTGTCGATGGATGCCCGCAGTCATGCCGCCGTTGCCCCGCTTCCCGAGCAGTCCGCGCTCGACGCCGAGGCCGTCGGCTGGGCTGAGCAATGGGCAGTCCAGGAGGCATACCGTGAACCGTTCTTCCCGGAACATCTGCTGTTTGCGCCTCAGCCGATCACGCTGTGGGCCTTGGACCAGGCCATTGCTTCTTTCCCCGTCCGCACAGGCCTCGGGGCCGACCGCCTGGCGCCGCGGGCCATCCAGCGGCTCCCCATCGCGGCCCGCATGCTGCTCATCCACATATTGCTTGCCGCGGAGCGGCTGGGTGGGTGGACGGCCGCTTGCAACCTGGTGCTGGTCGTTTTACTGCCAAAGCCGGACGGCGGCTTGCGCCCGATCGGCCTCTTCCCCACTCTCATCCGCGCGTGGATGCGCACGAGAGCCTCCGCAGCCCGGGCGCGGGAAGCAGCTCGCGCAGTCCCGTCGGTGTTCGGCAGCGCTGGTCGCGGGGCGCAGCGCGGGGCCTGGGCAGCCGCCTCTGCCGCCGAGGCCCCGGCAACTTCCGCGCGCCAACACGTCGCCTCCCTCCTGGATCTGGCGAAGGCGTGCGAACGGGTGCCGCGCCACCTCGTGGCTGCAACCGCAGCGCGTTTGGGCTTCGACTTGATCATCCTTCGCCTGTCACTGGCAGCTTGCCGCTTGGCCCGGGCCATCGGGGTGGAATGGACATTCTCGTGTTTGCTCATCGCCACCCGCGGTTTTACAGCGGGGTCTGGCTTCGCCACGCTCGAGCTCCAGATGCTGCTACACGAGTCCATGCTCATTGCGTCCTGGCGGTGGCCCTCATTGCGCCTTTACCTGTACGTGGACGACCTGACCATCGCTGCCTCCGACTTCTCTGACGAAGCACTTGCGGCAGTGGCGCGTGGCACGAACTTCAACGTGGACATGTTCGAGCGCTGCCTCGCGTTCACGGCCTCGACGACGAAGTCGTTCGCGGTCGCGTCGAGGCCGAGCCTGGCAGCCAGGCTGGGCGCATGCGGGCGGTCGCGCGCGGGCTGTCGGCGTCCTCAAGACGCGCCTCAAGCAGTTCAACATGCGCACTCCGAGAGTTCATACCCTGCGCCGCCAGCGCGTGGAGACCACCCGCGTGGTGAAGGCCATCGGGAGCCCCAGCATGCTGCACGGCGTGGGTATCATTGGCGCGCCCAGCACGCATCTGCACAGCGTGCGCGCTGCAGCCCTCTGCGCCGCTCTGCCGCCTGGCGCGAGCCGCAACGTCGACGTCGCTTTCGCCGTCCTGGATGCCGGTGGCGCCGCATTGGGCCCGGCGCATGCTGCGCACGCCGCGCCCCTCCGTCATCCCAGACCCCCTCGCGTTGTGAAAAAATCGCGACGGGAGGTGTTTTTTCTGTATTTTCGGCCTCTGGGGGCCCTTACCGGCCTTCGGGACCGTCAAAGAACGATTCAGAACGAGAAACCGGTCCCGGGGAAGGGGTCCAGACCTCTGGGGGTCGACGTCGTGAAAAAATCACGACGTCGGGGGTCTGGGATTGGGGCTTGGCGCGTTGGCAGGAGTGGGCGCCGGCGCCAGAGCCCGACCACGTTTTCGAGGAGCCCCGGACAACCTTCTCGGGAAGGTCGTGGCGACTGGCAGGTCGCCGTGGTCCGCCGTGGCTGGCCCTGTGGCCGCTGTTATCGCCACGGCGTGGCGCCTCGGCTGGACTTGTTCCTCTCCGCGGCGATTCCTGGGCGACGCTGGCGAAACGGTCGACTTCCTGCTCGTGTGCCCCGCCATGGTGTCGGCCGCTGCGCACAGGTCCGTCGACAGATGGCGGACCAAACGCGTGATCTCCATGATCCCGCCCATCGCCGCCAGCGCGCCGGACCTGCCAACGCGGGCGCGGACTCCTTCACGGCCCTCGCGGGGCGACCCTTGGCGCGCCTGCTCAAGGGCCAGGGGCGCCCGCGCAGCACCGTGCCGCAGTGGTCGGCCCCGCGCCGTTCGATGCTCCTGTCTGCTGCCACTGGCGGACACTGAATGGCCCCAGGTGCGCCTCGCTCGACGACGGAATGCCGAGGTGCCAGCTGCGCGGCGAGGCGCCAGGCACCCTCCTGCACCGCCGCTGCTGCGCTGCTTCGCTGCCGCCGGAGGGGATGGCCCGAGCCGCCCAGCGCGTGCTCGGACCTGTTGTCCGCGCTCCCGGAGGCCCGCGCGACGCTGCTCCGCGCGCGCGGACTGCTCGCCCTTCGGCTGCCGCGGCCAGCGGCGCAGGAGGAGCTCGCCGCGTGCTGGTTCGCGGCCCCGCCCGACGAGACGCGCGCCGACCTGTGTTGGTACACGGATGGGTCGATGAGGTTCGGCCCGCTATGGGAGCCCCGGCGCACGGGGTGCGGCATCGTGGTCGTCTCTGTCTGTGGCGACCTAGTCGCACACGGCTGTGCCGTGCCTCCCCCTTGGGCCCGCACTGCGGCAGCCGCGGAGCTTTGGGCGGCGGCGCTCGCGCTCTCCATCGCCGTCGCGCCGCCCAGCATCCGCGCGGACTGCCGGGCCATCCTGACAACTGCTGCGGCCGGCACGCTCCAGGCGACCAGGCCCACGCGCATGCTCGCGCAGCTGTGGTCGCGCGTGTCCGCGCTCTTGGACGGCGACACCTCGGAGCTTCTGGTGGCCGGGAGGCTCGCTTGGATGCCAGCGCACGGCTCCGTTGCCAGCATCGGCACAGCCAGGAGGTCCGACGGGCACGTCGCGACCGCGGTTGACTGGCGCGCGAACCGCCTGGCCGACGCTGCTGCCAAAGCGGCTGCGGGGTGCTCGCCAGAGTGCGCGGCGGGCGCGCAGCTCTTCGGGCAGGCGGAGCGTCTCGTGGCGCATGAGGGCGCGGTCATGGGGGCCGTCACCCACGCCGCGAACAACCGCGTTCGCGAGCTGGTCGGGCCTGACGGCGCCGGCGCGTCGCGGTGCGCGACGCGGCCGCCATGCGGCGCCCGAGGGCGTTGGCTCGCGTGGGTGCCCCGCCGCAGCGCGCGCCGCTGGCACCGCGGCTGCCCGCGGGGGGGGGGCGCCGCCCCCGCCCGCCGCGCTGCCGCCCGCCGCGGCCGCCGCCGCTGGCCGCCCACGCGCGCTGGGGGCACGGCGCGCGGCGCACGCCGCGGCGGCGCGCGCCGGCCGCGCAGGCCGTCTGCAAGGCGCGGGCGGCCGTGGCGCGACCGTCGTCGGCGCCGCCTGCGGCCGAGCCGCTGGATGCTCTCCGGGCGCGCGTCCTCGTCGGCGTCGGCCAGGGCGCCGCGGCGTAGCCCCGCTGCTGGGCTGCTGCGGGCGCCTGCCCCGTTGGGGTTCCGGGAGCCTGCGTGGCGGCGGGCTGAGCCGGGCCCCCCCCCTCCCCCCCCCCCGCCCTCCTCCTCCTCCTCCTCCCTCCTCCTCCTCCTCCTCCTCCTCACTCCTCTCTCCCTCCTCCTCCTCCTCCTCCGCCTCCCTTGTAATTTGGTGCATTTGCTGCCGCGGGCACGCGTGGGCTGCGCTGTCGCCTCGGTTAGCTGGCCACCAAAGACAAAAATGAGATCTATCAAAGAAGGGGGGGGTATACTACCGCTGCCCATCTAGAGTGCCTCGAATCGCCTCTGAGGCCCTTTTTGACGCTGTTTCGCTGTTTCGCTCTTGGAGCCGTCTTGGGCCATCTTGGGAGCCTCTTGGGGCCTCTTGGGGGCCTCTTGGGAGCCTCTGGAAGGCCTCTTTGGGGGCTCTTGGGGCCTCTTGGGGCGCTCTTGGGAGCCTTCGGGGCGCTCTTGGGGCCATCTTGGAGGAGATCTATCAAAGAAGGGGGGTCGTATACTACCGCTGCCCATCTAGAGTGCATCGAATCGCCTCTTGGGCCCTTCTTGAAGCCAGAGTCCGTCCAAAACCTAAGGGAAGTCAATGTTTTGTGCTTTTTCGCTTTTTCGCTCTTGGAGACGTCTTCGGAGCCTCTTTGGGCCTCTTGGGGGGTCTCTTGGGAGCCCCTTGAAGGCCTCTTTGGGGGCTCTTGGGGCCTCTTGTGGCCCTTTGGGGGCGCTCTTGGGGCGCTCTTGGGAGCCTTCGGGGTGCTCTTGGGGCCATCTTGGAGGAGATCTATCAAAAAAGGGGGGTCGTATACTACCGCTGCCCATCTAACTAGAGTGCATCGAATCGCCTCTTGGGCCCTTCTTGAAGCCAGAGTCCGTCCAAAACCTAAGGGAAGTCAATGTTTTGTGCTTTTTCGCTTTTTCGCTTCTGGAGACGTCTTCGGAGCCTCTTTGGGCCTCTTGGGGGGTCTCTTGGGAGCCCCTTGAAGGCCTCTTTGGGGGCTCTTGGGGCCTCTTGTGGCCCTTTGGGGGCGCTCTTGGGGCGCTCTTGGGAGCCTTCGGGGCGCTCTTGGGGCCATCTTGGAGGAGATCTATCAAAGAAGGGGGGTCGAAAACTACCGCTGCCCATCTAACTAGAGTGCATCGAATCGCCTCTTGGGCCCCCCCGAATGGCCAAAATCCTGCCAAAACCTAAGGGAACTCAATGTTTGTGCGCGTTCGCTCTCGGAGCCGTCTTGGGCCATCTTGGACGTCCCAACGACCCGCGGAACCCCTCGTCCAGGTCGGCGGGGAGGGGTAAGGGGAGGGGTCAAGCTAGCCAGCTCGAGCGAGTCAAGCATGGCATGCCCATTCCCACCCGCCCTCCCACAACATAAGAAACAGTGATGGCACAATTGGGGGCTGCGCGGGCATTTCAGTGCGAGTGGAGGATACCCCAGGACACCGCATTGACGTCCGCGCGGGCTGTGCGCCGCGTCCCATTCCCGCCACGCATCGTCGACGACAAGATTGGCCATGTTGAAAGGAACAACGGACACGTTCCGCCCTCCCACAACATAAGAAACAATGCTGGCGCAATTGGGTGTTGGCGCGTAGTGGTGGTGGTAGTAGTAGTAGTAGTAGTAGTAGTAGTAGTAGTAGTAGTAGTAGTAGTAGTAGTAGTAGTAGTAGTAGTAGTAGTAGTAGTAGTAGTAGTAGTAGTAGTAGTAGTAGTAGTAGTAGTAGTAGTAGTAGTAGTAGTAGTAGTAGTAGTAGTAGTAGTAGTAGTAGTAGTAGTAGTAGTAGTAGTAGTAGTAGTAGTTAGTAGTAGTAGTAGTAGTAGTAGTAGTAGTAGTAGTAGTAGTAGTAGTAGTAGTAGTAGTAGTATTAGTAGTAGTAGTAGTAGTATTAGTAGTAGTAGTAGTAGTAGTAGTAGTAGTAGTAGTAGTGGTAGTAGTAGTAGTAGTAGTAGTAGTAGTAGTAGTAGTCAGTAGTAGTAGGGGTAGTAGTGTAGTAGTAGAGTAGTGAGTAGTAGTAGTAGTAGTATAGTAGTAGTGGTAGTAGTAGTAGTAGCAGCAGTTGATAGAGAGTAGTAGATAGTTGTGTTGTTAGTGCAGCAGTAGCAGCAGCAGCAGCAGCAGCAGAGTAGTAGTAGTAGTAGTAGTCGTAGTAGTAGTAGTTAGGCAGTAGTAGTATGTAGCAGTAGTAGTAGTAGTAGTAGCAGTAGTAGTAGTAGTAGTAATAGTAGTAAGTAGATAGCAGAGTAGATGTAGTAGTACTAGTAGTAGTAGTAGTAGTAGTAGTAGTAGTAGTCGTAGTCGTAAGTCGTAGTAGTAGTAGTAGTCGTAGTAGTAGTAGTAGTATAGTAGTAGTAGTCGTAGTAGTAGTAGTAGTAGTAGTAGTAGTAGTAGTAGTAGTAGTAGTAGTAGTAGTAGTAGTAGTAGTAGTAGTAGTCGTAGTAGTAGTAGTGGTAGTAGTAGTAGTAGTAGTAGTAGTAGCAGCAGCAGCAGCAGCAGCAGTAGTAGTAGTAGTAGCAGCAGCAGCAGTAGTAGTGGTAGTAGTAGTCGTACTAGTAGTAGTAGTAGTAGTAGTAGTAGTCGTCGTCGTCGTAGTAGTAGTAGTCGTCGTCGTCGTCGTCGTCGTCGTCGTCGTCGTCGTCGTCGTAGTAGTAGTAGTAGTAGTAGTAGTAGCAGGAGTAGTAGTAGTAGTAGTAGTAGTAGTAGTAGTAGTAGTAGTAGTGGTGGTGGTGGTGGTGGTGGTGGTGGTGGTAGTAGTAGCCCTGAGTCGCCGAAAGATCGTTCCAGGACGCCCAAGATGGCCTCCAGACGGCCGTAGCTCCAAGAAACCGCGGGGAGCTTCAGGAGGCCCTCGCAGAGCCTGAACACGCAAAACCTCCCAGGCGTTCGTCACCTGAGGGCCTCCTGGAACGCTCCGGCGCTCAATGAATTGGCGAGCTTAAAACGTGCGCCGAGCCAAAGCGGGAGCGCAACTTTGAGAACACTTAGCTCGGCGCCCAAGCGGGAAGGTCATTTCATTCATTTCCAGCGGGGTGGGAGGGGGGTGTGCCGCGCCCAATTTTTGCCTTGCACTTTTGCGGGGTGGACGACAAGAACAGCTATCTGGGCAGGGAAAATCAGCATGGCATTGTTTCTGACAAGTAAGGTGGCCCCTCCCGCCTTGGGGGTGCCCCAGAAGTCCGCGCGCGATGCGCGCCGCGCCCCATTCCTGCCACGCGTTTCGCATCGTCGACGACAAGACAGGCCATGATGAAAGGAAAAACTTCAACTCTGTATTGTTTTTTTACAGTCGAAATGGGAAAGCCTGCAGCCCGCATGGACGTCCGCGCGCGATGTGCGCCGCGCCCCATTCCTGCCACATATTTCGCACCGTCGGCGACAAGGCAGGCTATGCTAAGAGGAAAAAACGGAGACTTTGTATGGATATTTTACAGTCAGGATGGGCGGGCCCAGATTGACGGCCGCGCGCGATGTGCGCCGCGTCCCATGTGCGCCGCGTCCCACTGTTGCCACATATTTCGCACCGTCGGCGACAAGGCAGGCCATGCTGAGAGGAAAAAGCGAGGACTTTGTATTGATTTTTAACAACTAGGATGGGCGGGCCCAGATTGCGCGATGCGCGCCGCGTCCCATTCCTGCTACGTTTTTCGCATCGCCGGCGACAAGAAAGACGATGTTGAGAAGAAAAACGGCCACTT